TAATATGCTGACAAAACCATGCTAATTCCAAATAAAAGTATTCAAATATTTTGTAAATCGCCTTAACTACACCAAGTGTTTGAAACTAATGAGTTACTGGTTCATAAAATTCCAACAGTTATAAATCAAACTCTATTGGAGATAGGAATTAAAATTCAAGCAATAGGAAAAAATGATGAATTTATTGAGAGCTTTATAAACAAAGTGTTAGAAAAATTTACAAGCGGTTCAAAATGGCTGATTGTCCATTTGCTTTTAGGTGAATGGACATTTTGCTTTTGATATATTTGAGTTTTAAACTGCAACAAACTGTCTATTTTGCCCATTTGTTGCAGACAATAGTAGCTAATCAGAAAACTTATCTGTGAAGACTTTTGGATGAATAGAAAAATGCTGCAGTTAGTTTCATTTTGGCATATTTTAGATATTTTAGGATTTTTTCCAAAGTTGAGGTCATAATTTTTTCCTAATTTAATACAAGTTAATAAAAAAAACTTTTTTAAAGAGAGAACTATCCAGAAAATAGTTCTAGAAAAAATGAGAAACTTGTTGAAAGTGAGAAAAAAGTTATACAGCTCTAAAGTAGTCTGTTTTGACCATTTGTAAATCGAGGGGGACCACTGTGTCATGTTTCTTAGGCTATAATTTTTGAACTATTGTATTTTGAAGTCTGAAGTTTCAAATTTAACTACATAATGCACATAATCTATATAATGCACATAACAATGTGTAAAAATCAAGAAAATCAGAGATATAGACCCATTTTTCTTCAAATTGGTTGAAATATAATGATTTGACGCATAAAATATATTATGACACACAAGAGTGTCTATTTATCACTGTTACTATATTAAATACTTTAAATATATTTTGCTGTAATTTTAACTTAAGTAATTATTATTTTTCATTATTTTCATTCATAGTTTTTTATTATACAGAAAGGTAAAAACCTTTTGTGTTAAATATCATAAAGTTTAGTGAATAACTTTTATGCACATTGAAATAATTCAAATAATATTGATCTAATATTAAATTTTGAGCAAAAGTATTTATTTTGAGTTTTGATTAAAGAAAAAAGTTGAGTATAGAAAAATAAGCTAACAGTAATAACCGATAGGTTTTACCGTGCATTAGATAGAGGTGGAGAGGTTAAGGCTATCGCACTTGACATTTCTAAAGCTTTTGATAAAGTTTGACATGCTGGTCTTCTCCATAAGCTTTCTTCTTATGGTGTAGCTGGTAACGTCTTTAAGATTATTGAGTCCTTTCTTTCCAATCGTAGTATAAAAGTTGTCCTCGATGAACAACACTCTTCTTCACATCCTGTAACTTCAGGGGTTCCTCAAGGTTCAATCCTTGGCCCTATACTCTTTTTAATTTACATTAACGATCTTCCAGACATTCTCACATCTAAGGTGGCATTATTCGCTGACGACACTACCATTTACTCTTGTCATGATAAGAAGCCTACACTCTCTGATTGCTTGGAGGTGGTATCTGAGCTTGAAAAGGATCTCACTTCTGCTACAGCATGGGGCTCACAGTGGCTGGTGAACTTTAATTCAGATAAAACTCAATTTTATTCGGCCAATCGTTATCGTAATAATTTAGATCTTCCTATATTTATGAATGGTAATGTACTAGATGAGTCATCTACCATTCATCTTCTAGGATTAACTCTTACTTCTGATCTTTCTTTTAAACCGTATATCAAATCCATTGCAAAATTAGCATCTGCTAAGGTTGCATCTCTTTATCGAGCTCGACACTTTCTTACTCCAGATTCTATTCTCTATCTCTATAAATCTCAAATCCGTCCCTGTATGGAATACTGTTGCCACATCTGGGGCGGATCTTCTAATGATGCTCTTTCTCTTTTAGACAAGGTGCAAAAACGAATTGTAAACATAGTTGGACCTGCTCTGGCAGCCAATCTCTAACCTTTGTCACATCGTCGTAATGTTGCTTCTCTTTCTCTTTTCTACAAATACTATAATGGGCACTGCTCTAAAGAGCTAGCGTCCCTTGCGCCATCTACTAAAATTCATTCTCGTGTTACTCGCCATTCAATTAAGTCTCATCCTTTTTCTGTGACTGTTCCTAAGTGCTTCAAAAACTCTTATTCTTCTAGTTTTTTTCCTCGAACATCAGTTCTTTGGAATTCGCTTCCTTCATCTTGCTTTCCTGATTCATATAATTTGCAATCTTTTAAGTCATCAGTCAATCGTTATCTTGCTCTACAGATTTAGTCTTTTCTCTTCCAGTAACTTCCAACTCTTATAGTGGTTGCTTGCAGCCTTGTTGGAAGTGAAGATGTTAAAAAAAAAAAAAAAAAAAAAAGCTGTTTATTTACACAAGGAATATTACTTAACAAGGAAAATTGGCTCAAAAACCAATGTTTCTGAAAACACAGTCATGAGAGCATTGTAACGAAAGCATGAAAGCTGCAATCAGATTCGTTGTCATTCTGGGAGACCTAAACCAACATTGTAAAAAAAAAAACCTTATAAAGTAAAAAAACAAACATACTTGCACTACTACCAAAATTTGTAAAGAACTCAACTCCTTGCGGGAAATAATATCTGTTTCAACCGTAAAACAATAACTTCGCAATTACAGTTTGAAAAGATTCATTAAAAAAACATTACTAAACAGACGTGTGCAGTTATTCGTCTTGTTTGTCTACAAAAAAGTTTTTTATTTAGACAATTTGTTTTATTATACTAGGCGTTTCAATGCTTAGTGAAAAAAAATAAGTTTCAAAAACAAATTAGGAAATAAAAACAAATTTAAATAAAAAAAAAACGAAAAATATTAATAATTTAAATAATTTGTGTACTGCTTATATTTATTGTTTTTTTTTAGTGTGGTTGTTATTAAATTTCATATTTCAATATATATTTTTTTGCATTCCATAAACTTGTTACATTAACTTTTATCATTTGCAGCCAGACTTAAAAACCAGTTACTTTAGTGGAACACACACAGTCATAGGAAAACCAGTTACTTTAGTGGAACACATACAGTCATAGCCTCGGAAAAGATTATATTAGAGTAAGAGTTAGTGAAAACTATTTTAAAGTGTTGAACAAATGTCCAGTCCAAAGCACAAAATTCAAGCAAAGATTTTTAGTTAATAAATTGTATACATATATTTCACCAATAACATATTAAAATAAAGGGGAGGGGCAGGTAGAACAAAGAACACTGAGCCAAATGTTAAAAAGCAACAGATATCCAAAATTACAAAGCGCTAAAAGATTGGAGATAAAAAATGTACAGGAATAGAAAAATAATATACAACAATTAAGGCTATGTGTGTAGAAGGCATGGGACAACTAAAGCTGAAAAACTATGTATATGTGTGAACGCCTTACTTAGAAAATATAATGCTTAAATGGTACAAGAAATCTAAATATGAATAGATGTATATCATTAAAAAAAAAAAAAACAGAAAAAATTTTTATATACAAAAAAGAAAAGATTTTTACAAAGCAAATATATGAGCAGCAGGATTTTAAAGAAAAACAATGGAAACTTGGATGGTGGTAGGTATCTAACCACAGCCATTAAGTGTATATGAAGTAAAAGCATGAGCTAAACGTGCGTATACTGATGACAAAATAAATATAATTATAAAATTTAAAAAGTGAAATAAAAAGTAAAACCTATGAGGTAGATTTGTATATATACATACATGAACAGGCCAACATATGAGTGTATACAAACATATACCAATGCATTACATTGAGATATTTATATAGGGACAATATACACTTTTTGCATTAAAAGTATACAAATATATTTTACAAACAGATAGCAATTTATATTTTTGTTTTTCTCTTTAAAAAACAAATTAATATAAGAAAATCAGTCTTTCCATTGTCGACTTAAACTGTTTTTGTTTTTTGTGTTGTCTTATCCAATTTAGTAGCTGAAAATAACAACCACCCTAAATAAATAAAATTAAAATCAGTATAATTTTTTTTTTTTTTCTATTTAAATTTATTTCCTTTATTGTTAGTTTTGCTTTCTATTTAAATTTATTTCCTTTATTGTTAGTTTTTGAAATCTAATTTTTTCTGCTAAGTATTAAAATGCTAATATAATAAAACTTGCAATTGCTACTAAGTTGTTCAAATAAAAAACTTATGTGTGGACATGAGACGAAAAACTTCTGGTAAGGTTTGATTTTGTTGTTAAATTAGAAAACGCATGATAAAACAATTCACAACTTTAAAAGTCAAGCATGGCAGAGGGTCAGTCATGGTCTGGGGATGCTTTGCTTGAAACAAAGTTGGTGACCTTTGTTTCAAGCAAAGCAGACCTTTGTTTTTCATCAGGATAACAAAAATATAAACAACACTTCTAAAATTCTGCAGGATTTAAGCACACAGAATTTGCTAGAGCAATTCAAAGTTTAATTTTTTGGCATAAAGTTACAATAGATATTCATGTTAATTTTTGTTGAAATATTGGCGAAATATATTTTGAAAGGAGTTCAAATTAGCTTTTGATTATTATTTAAGTGGGGGCAAATTTTAACATTTTTGCATCTTTTAATTTTAAAGATGGATGCTCTAGAAGCAAGAATCTGAATTTTTATAAATTTATATTATAGCATTTTGTTATACATGTAACTAATATTTAGGAATAGATAATAATAAATCTTTTAATTTTGGAAGATTTTTTAATTTTTTTAACACCTGATCAAGAGACAGAAGCTTAGAGTCATTATTTCAGCATACTTTATGAGTTTGGAGCACAGACCTTAATTTTAAAAAAATATTTAGATTAATGTTTTTATTTTTTTGTTTTTATATTTTATTATGAATATTACGTTTTAGGCTTTAATTATTTTAAAAGCTCTATAAACTATAATTCGATGTTAATGTAAATTTAACAAAATGTTTCTAAAATGTAACAATTTTTGGCAACAGTTGTGCATTTTTAAAATATTATTTAAAATGGCGACAACTACTGACAAGTATGAAAAATACCTTAAGATGACTTTTAAAATCTGCAGGTTTTATAGTTCTTGTTTTCTCAACAGCTAGAAATTTGTCATCAGTAACTGTTCTTCGTCTTAATTTTGCTGAAGCCATTATTCAACCAAACATTTATTCAGAACGCTTCATAGTGTTTAATAATAGAAAACTAATAAAAATATTCTTTTGCTCTTATTGTATAAATAAAACACCTAAAAAAGATAGATTTTAATAAAAAAAATAGTTAAGTTATTTTAAAATATTCTGGAGCAATTAATCTTGCTCAGAACTTGTGTATATTCTTTTGCGGGGATTAGATAATATTATACTGACGTATTGGACTATTATAATTTTTTTTAAGTTAAAGATAAGCTAATTACTATATGTTAAAGCAACATGTATAAGGATAAATATTTTATTATTAAGTTATGTTTACGAGGTTCATTTAAAAACTTGTGATTCAATACAATTACTAAATTCACTAATACTCAAATTATTCATAAGCAAAATTTTCACGCACGTCAAACAAAACATTAAAACCTAAGATTTACCGGTGGTATCTTAAAGAATAACTTTTTAGAAAATTGCTTATTTTGCAGAACATACGTTTTCCGAGTTATGATTATAGGGAAATGAGACTGATCAAAATCAATTGAGCACTAATTCACTCAATTGTTTAGCTTTAGTAACTATTTAAATAATTTAATTTTTAATATATGGTTTATACAATTAACCATAATGGTATAATAATTAATGGTAATACAACCATATATTAAAATATTTTCGTTAATACGCCAATATTTTAATATATGGTTGATCTACAAATAATTCATACAAAGAAAGCTACCAAAAAACGGGTAGTGAGGTGAATAGGAACAAAAACCAGAGAAGTTTTTTAGATTGTGAAAGTTTTTTAGAAAGTGACAGAGAAAGCTAGTCGACCAGTTAACCTTTTTTTCCTATCATGTGTGAATCAGGTTCATATAGTTGACAACATTTATATTTGGCTGTGAGATTACCAACTGCAGTAAATCGTATTAAAGAATAAGCCCTAAAATGTGAAAAATAAATAAATAAGTAGGCACAATTTTTTCGATACAGACAAAATCGCTGAAAGTGTAATTGTGAGACTTTACCAAATTGTTTCATGAGTAGTTTGATGAAACTGTGAGAAATTACACAACATAGCCCTTATGTTAACGAATACATTTTGATTGATTTCAAGTTTTTAGGAAAAAATATCCAATATTAAGGTGAATGGAGATAGTTGTGAAAGTTTGCCCTTCCCTGACTCCTTTTTATTCTGAACACCTTAGTAACGTAGCTGCAAAGAACTTTCATCATAGATCATAATTTCTTTGAAGCCTCGAGAATTACATTGAGCTCTCTGTTGTTTTAGTCTAAAACATTAACATTAGAGTGTATAAAATGACTATTTTTTACAATTATATTACTGTTTTTCCAATTTATGGGCGTTATTTAAATAAACAAAACACATTTTGACATTTTTAAAGTATACTTTTCTAGATGAAAACGGCATTTTAGAAAAAGTTGAATTTAGACGAGATTGAATGACATAAAAAAGTTATTTTGACGACATTGAAGCTGAAAGTACTAGTTCTAGATAGTTTAGTTTGTGCGGCCGTGGTGCAGTGGTTACAGCGCTTGCCTTATAAGTAGGAGATTCAGGCTCGAAACAAGCTCAGGACATATTTTCGCGTCACGGTAAGGAAGGAGGCGTGAACTTCCTAGTTAAATTCACTTCCACGGTGCTCTGTGACAAGACCTTCAGGTCTAGTTTAGTTTCCTTGCTTTTAACACAACTAGAATTAAAAACATTTTTTCTTGTAAACAAGATAACTTTAATTCTTTACTAAACTGAACTCTTCTTTTTACATAAATAAAAATTTTTTGCATACATAAATACAAATAATAAATATTCTCTTCAGTGACGGATCCAGCATGTTTTGGTGTTTGAGATAACTTTCCAATGATTATCTAATTGGATTGTGCTCCATGTACATGGAGCGCAATCCAAACATTTGTATGTTTACACTTATGTTAAATAACGATGCATTGCAAAAAATTCTGATGATTAGAGGCTGGGAACAAATAAATCCCAAAATTTGATAAATTTTATCTACATATGAGAGTGTAATTTAAAGTAGATTACATTGCGGCCTAGTGTTTTTCAGCTTGCGTAAAGGTAAAAAGTTGTTGCGCATTTTAAGGGGTTTTATTGAAAAAAACAAGCATAAAAATTTTTTCATATTTCTTCTTCTTTTTTCAATATATGATTTCAATGGACTAATATAAACTTTTAAGAAACTAATATGTTGTAAAATTGTCTTGCTGCCCTCATATTTCATCTTTATATGATTTTTTACATTTTTACCAATATTTGAAAAATAAAGTATTGCCATTTTTGTAGTAAAGTTGATATACTAAGTAGAAAAAAAAATTATATCAGTTTTAGAGTGCTGGGGGTCTCTAGATTACATTTATAAAAAGAAATTACTGCAATATTAAAGTTAGTTTTAAAGGGTTTTGCTCACCTCTGGCCCACTGTGCAACGTTACAAATTATCCCCCAATTTCTGTTCTTTTTGTTCTTTCTAAAGTTTAAGTAAGAATTTTATATAAAGTTATTTATAATCACTTTTCATTAAATAGTATATTACATACCAATCAATATGGGTTCAAAAAAAAAAATTATAATAACTCGACAGAACGCGAAATACTGCAAATTCCTCGCAGTTAGCTGAATCTTTCGAGAAGTCCCAATATACGTTGGAAATTTTTGACACTATTGATGATCAAATTCTCTTTAAAAAAATAGAATACTATAGAATTAAAGATAATGTTTTAATTTTACTTAAAAGTTATTTAAGCAACCGTAAACAGTTTGTTTATAGTAATGAAACTGGTACAACTAATTTATTAAATGTATAACCTGTGGAGTTCCACAGGCCTCTATACTCGGACCACTTTTCTTTTTAATTCACGTCAATGATCTCCTTAATGCGTAAAGTTTAATGACTGTCATGTTTGCTAATGACAATAATCTCTTTTATAGCATAAATAATCTCTTTTTATAGCAAGTAACACAAAATTATTTCAAAATATGAACATTGAATCAGCGAAAGTTTGTGAATGGTTCAAAATGAGTAAGTTGTCACTAAATGTCGATAAAATAAAATGGTCATTTTTTCATCCTTCTTCTGAAAAGAAACTACTGCCTTCCAACATGCTTTTATAAATAAAATCTAAATAAAAAGAGAAATAAATACTAATTTTTAAAGTATATACGCTGATGAAAACCTTAGCTGGAAATATTACACTAATTTTTTGTACAACAAAGTTGTTAAAAGTATAGGAGTAATGTATAAGGCTAGAAATGCTTTAAATAAACAAATTTTAAACAGTTTTACTTATTTTTTCTTTTTCTTTTATTGATTGTCATTTAATTATGCAAATATTGCTTGGTTTAGTGCCAATAAAAGTAAACTGGGATCTCTTTATCGTCAGCAGAAGAAAAATTTTCGTCTTATCAACTTTAAAGACAGGTTTACTCATACCAGGCTTCTTTTATTTGAAATAAAAATTTTTAATATTTATCAACTCAATATTTTTAATACTTTTTGTTTTATGTACAAATGTAAAACTAACTTCTCCCCAGTTTATTTTCACAATTTATATATCTTGAAAGATAAAAATAAATACAATTTGAAAAATAACAATTTAATTCGGCAGCCATTTTATCTAACTAATTTTGGAATTGTTTTATTTGGAGCATCTCTTTGGAAAAAAATAGTTTTAAAACATTTTTATTTTACTCTGAAATGGAGCTACCTCTCATTTAAGAATAAGCTTAAAGAAATTATTTTGTCTCCTGATAATATAATTTTATATTTTTAAACGTTTTATTTAATGTATTATTTGATGCATTTTTACTGTAAACTAGTGTTTATTAGATGTGACTGTGCCTTATTTATGTTTTGTATAATCAAACTCTATTCTGTAATTTTGATGCTCTTTTACAGAACAGAACCTTTTAATAACCGTTGTAATAAAAACTTTATTGATAAAAAAAAAAAAGGTTAGTCATTAATTTTGTTATCAAAAAAAATTAATTATTTCATAGAAGCAATATATGGTCATACTTAGCATTAGAAACTGCAACCAATTAACTAATAAATATAAAAACATAAAAAAATTCTCAATTAGTAGTATGATACTGCGCTGATCCAACGCATTGTTGTTGTTTTTTTGTTTAAAAGGCTCCTAACTACGCTAAGAAATTTGTTTTCGATTCAGCTGAATCGAAAACAAGAAACAAAAACTAGTTTTTGTTGAATTGTTAAAGAATGCGGCACATTTCCCGCTTTTTCATGTTCTTCGTGTAGAGTATGGAGTATTCACCTGAGATGTCTAAGATATCAGCAATTTAACATTTGGTCAAACTTGGATCTTTACAAACAATTGCACTTCATAGACGTCTACTACATGGTCCATTTTTATGACTTGTACAGCTGGTTTAAACTTTAAAACCCAACGGTGCACAGCTGAAAATGAAAGGACAGATTTCTTTAACTTTTTCACCATTTTTTTAATGAATTTCTATTGGTGATAAACCTTCCAAAACAAAGAATTTCATCACTGCATGATATTCGGTTTTTTCCATTGTAACAAAATACGCTGACACTTGTTAACAAAGAATGAATTAACAAATCAAAATACAATTTTTTTGTGTGTTCAAATGGAAAACAAAATATTTGAATAACGTATAAAATTTTATTCCTCTACTGGTTAACTGGTGTTGCTTTCAAAACTTTTTAACTAACCTGTATTGTGTTGCTTTTCTTTACGCCATATAACTTTCTCTAAAAGAAAATGAAAAAAGATTCATTTAAAATTTTGATTTTAAAACTTTTTATTTTTTTTTTCAACACCTTTACTTCCAACAAGGCTGCAAGCAACCACTATTAAAGATAAAAGTTACTAGAAGAGAAAACATGATGTTTATATATAAAGATAACGATTACTAGACGACTTAAGAGATTGCAAACAATATGACTCTAAAAATGAAAATTATATGAATACAGTAAAATATTTAGTATTGTTAAAATATTAAAATTTTTTATACTATGTTTTGTTTTTATTCAAGAAGCAATTAAAAACCACTGCTATTTTAGGACTTTTAACAAAGTAATTTAAATGAAAAACACTGGGTAATT